GCTGAAGGCAGAGGCTTTAACCCACTGAGCCACCCAGGCGCCCCGAGCTCCATTTTCAAAGCATTGTGATCTGAGAATATGCAGGGAATAATGTCAGTCTTTTGGTATCAGTTGAGCCCTTATTTGGGACCCAGTATGTGGACTATTCTGGAGAAGGTTCCATGTGCACTTGAGAAGAATGAGTATTCTGTTGTTTTAGGATGGAATGTTCTGTATATATCTATGAGGTCCCTCTGGTCCACTGTGTCATTCAATGGTCTCTTTATTGATTTTCTGCTTGGATGATCTATTACTGAGAGAGGCATGTTAAGATCTCCTACTATTAATGTATTCATATCAATATAACTCTTTATCTTGATTAATAGTTTTCTTGTGTAATTGGCTGCTCCCATATTGGGGGCATAGATATTTACAATTGTTACATCATCTTGGTGGATAGTCCCTTTAAGAATTATGTAGTGTCCTTCTGTAACCCTGACTACAGTCTTTAGTTTAAAATCTAGTTTATCTGATATGAGAATCACTACCCCGGCCTTCTTTTGAGGCCCATTGGCATGAAAGATTCTTCTCCATCCCTTTACTTTCAGTCTGGGTGTATCCTTAGGTTCGAAATGGGTCTTTTGTAGACAACATATGGAAGGGTCCTGTCGTTTTATCCAATCTGCCACCCTCTGTCATTTTATGGGCACATTTAGGCCATTCACATTGAGAGTGATTATTGATACATTTTTATTGACATCGTGTTACCTTTGAAGTCTTTCTTTCTGTAGATTGTCTCTATATTTCTGTTCAATGATATTCTTAGGATTTTCCCTCTTTTATAGAACCCCCCTTTATATTTCCTTGAGTGTCAGCTTGGTGGTTGCATACTCTTTTAAGCCTTCCATGTCTTGGAAACTCTTTATCTCTCCATCCATTTTGAATGTCAGTCTTGCTGGATAAAGTATTCTTGGGTGCATGTTCTTCTCATGTAGTGCCCTGAATATATCTTGCCAGCCCTTTCTGGCTTGCCAGGGTTCTGTGAACAGGTCTGACATTATTCTGGTGGGCTTTCCTCTGTACATAAGGAGCTTCTTTGTCCAAGCTGTCTTCAAGAGGGCCTGCCTACAATTATAATTCTTCATTCTTAATATTAGGTGCCTCAAGGACTTTCGGGAATCTTTAATCTTGGGGGGAGACCGTTCCGGCTCTAGTACATGAATGGTGGTTCCATTCACGAAATTGGGAAAATTTTCAAGTAGAACTTGTTCTACTATATCTTCTAGACTTCTTTTGTTCTCCTCCCCTTCAAGGATTTCAATAATTCTGACGTTGGAATGTTTCATGGCATCATTTATTTCCCTGATTCTGTTCATGGCTTCTAAGCTGTTTGCTCCAGGCTTCCTCCTGATCCTTTCTGTTTGTCCTCCAGATCACTAATTCTATCTTCTTTCTCAGTTACCCAAGCTTTTAGAGAATTTAGATTAGATTGGAACTCATTGAGAGCATTGTGAACATCCCTGGTGGCTTTCAGTTATGCCCTAACATTGTGAACATCATCCCTGGTGGCTTTCAGTTCTGCCCTAATCAATTCCGTTTGGTCATCCATGGCTTCCTCCAACCTAGCTATTGCCTGGATAATTGTTAGCCTGAATTCCCTTTCCCACATATTGTCTACATCGATAGCCATTAGCTCTGTTGCAGAAGGCCCATCCTCTAAATTTTTCTTCTGTTGGGCATTCCTCCTCTGAGTCATTTTGGTGAGAGATGACTGAATGGATGTAGCTGGATGTATCGACCGTTGTGCCGTCAAGGTGCACCCTGGAACGCCTCTGAGCAATCAGGAGTCCCCACCCAATCGAAAGAAAAAAGAAAGAGAGAAAAAAGAAAAGAGAAAGAAAAAGAAAGAGAGAAAGAGAGAGACACAGGGAAGAAAAAATAGAAGGCTCAGCCCAGATGGGTCCCAAGGTAAGATTTATGAAGTGTACAAACCAAAACAGACAAACAAAAAGACTATAAAAGTATATGACAAAAGAAATAAATAAATATATAAAAAAGCAAAAAAAAAAAAAAAAAAAGAACCTCGTCAAAAAGAACCCCAAGTATAGGATTTATATACTATCAGGCAAACACAAATACACAGAAACACTGGCAGAAGAAAAAGATGGGAGTGGTTATAAATTCTCAGTGTGGGCGAGGAAGGTTGTTTTGATTCTTCCTGGATGTATCTTGATATCTTTGTTAAAGGACTCAACTTTCTTAAGATAAAGGGGGATTAAAAATTGTTTTACCTATAGGGGTAGCATTGATTGGGGAAAGGGATGACCTTGAAGTTTAACTCTATATGAATATTAGAAAATAAAAATTAAAAAAAAAGAATAAACTAAACTAAAATTTTAAAAAATTAAAAAATAGTAGAGCAAAAGAAAAACACGGGTATATGTATCAAAAAGTTCAGGTTAAAAGGTTATTATGGAATTTGATGTACTGGACATCTCACTGTGATGGTAAATAGGTTAAAAAATTATCTATATATATAAAAAAATGAACCAGAATAGTGGGAACGAATTAAAAATAAAACTTGTATCTATGAAGTAGTGGTGGTTGTTCTCTTGTCTTTTTTTTTTTTTCCTGGTTGGCTTTCTGGGGGAGGGGCCTGCCACGTGGGTTTTCAGGCAATGTTCCCTGAGTTAAGTCCTCCCGCCCCCCTCAAGGGGGTGGGCTCTGAGGAAACTGGTTTTTCAGGTTTTTGTTCTCTGGAGGTTTTTATGTTTGTGTGTTCATTTGTTTGTTTATTTTTCTCTTGCCTTGACAGCTTTTGATGGTTGTTGGTTTAGAGGAAAGCAAACTGCACCCCGACCTCCCTCTCAGAGAGAAGCCTCAGTCTGTTCCCCTCTGCGTCTCCAGAGCACATTAAGTTCCCACTCGGCCTATGGCAGAGCAGGTTCTGAGTCGCGGTCCCTGGGGACACAGGAACTCCTGCTTGTACCCAAAACCACGACAGTGACTGACTGGGCAGCTCCATACCACCAGAGAGGTTCCAAGCGGTGATCCAGCGATCGCACGCTGAGATTTTCCTGCTGGCCTGGGTTGGGAGTGCCTGGTCTTTCCAGGTCCAAGAGCACCGGGCTGGCACCTGCGCACACCTCTCTCAGGGTAGGGTGTGGGGCACATGCATCTCAAGCTCTGATAGTACGGCGTGGCATTCTGCCGGCTGGTGAGGGTCCCAGCCCCTCACGGGAGCTGGACCCCATCTGTTCTCAGGTGCGCTGGCAGCTCAGGGACCAAGACCTGGTTTCTCCACCGCACTCTCTCTGGCTCAGCGCCAGGGGTGGCTTCCTAAGTGTGGGGACTTAAGCCTCTGTTCCTAACTGCCCCAATTCCCACAATTTCCCCCCACGATCCTTTGCTCTTTTTGAGTGCTTTCAACCAGACTCCAAATTAATGCTGGTCCCCAGACGCAGGGCACTTTGTATTGGGGTATTACTTTCCAATGGGTCGCCTCTGGTGACTCCCTGCCCCTTTTGTTTATCTTCTGATATCAGTCTGATATTCCCACTCCGCTTTACCTGCCCACTGGCGTCTTCTGCCCTCATAGAGATCCAGAATGTATAATTCTGATCTCAGGCTGATTTCATGGGTGATCAGAGTTCTTTAGTAGGTAATCAGCTCACTTTAGGGTACAGTTTGAAACAGCGCCTCTTCCTACTTCTCCGCCATCTTGTCTTCCCCTGGTTTCTTAAAATTTTTAAAGATTTTATTCATGTATTTGACAGAGATCACAAGTAGGCAGAGAGGCAGAGAGGAGGAAGCAGGCTCATGACCTGAGATCATGACCTGAGCCGAAGGCAGAGGCTTAACCCACTGAGTCACCCAGGTGCCCTTGGTTTCTTAATTTTTGAGAAGCGGTTATGAAATCTTACTTGCTCACTTCTGCCAGGCACATGCTAATTATTTCAGGAGTGGAGATGAAAATTCTGGAGGCTCAAGGAGCATCAGATCAAAAACAAATCTTCCTTTTACAAAAGTGGTTCCAATATCAAATAAGGTCTGTAGGGTTCAAAAAAAACAAAAAACTTATTACTTAGTTTCTTTTCATTACCATCTTTTAGAATAAGAGTTGGCATACTATGGCCAGAAGCCAGATGCTTTTATAAATAAACTTCTTTGGAAAACAGCCAAACTCTTTCATTTATGCATTTTCTATAGCTGCTTTCATGCTAAGCAAAACTGAATAGTTGTGAAAGAGACTGTATGGTCCACAAGGTCTAAAGTATTTATTGTATGGTCCCTTACAGAAAAAGTTTGCTGATCTCCACTTCAGATAGGTTTAAACTTTGGCAAATAGGACTGTACTATATCAAGTAAAGACATCCCCAAATAAAATAATGTGGGTTTCAAAAAAAGATTAACATATTCATTTGGGCTTTACTTTGAAAATGTCTAGGGTAGTCTACCTTCCATATGATTTCTCAATAGACCTCAAAACTGTACTGTGAGACACCAGGAGCAGCATAAACTCAAATAAACAGAGAAACAATTGAAGGGACTTTCACATTACAGAAGGAAGAGGATAAGTGGAAACCTTTATCTCCATACACTTTTTTTTTTTAAAGATTTTATTTATTTAACTGACAGAGATCACAAGTAGGCAGAGAGAGAGGAGGGGAAGCAGGCTCCCTGCTGAGCAGAGAGCCTGATGTGGGGCTCTATCCCAGGACCCTGGGATCATGACCTGAGCCGAAGGCAGAGGCTTTAACCCACTGAGCCACCCAGGCGCCCCTTATCTCCATATTCTTAAGGCAATGCATTGTTGCCTGACTGGCTGCATTAGAATTACAGAAATTTTTACATATGCCTAAGAATAACTTTCAGATTCTGATTTAGATATAGGGCCCAGGAGTCTTTTTTAAAAAAGATTCACTGAGAATAATAATACTGATTATTAAAATAAACAAACAAAAACAACAAACCTCTACAGATACATCCTAAAATATTTACAGATAAAATAATATTTGATAAGGTGTCTGGAATTTTTTCAAAATAGTTGGGGAGGTAGAGAGTGGCTTGGGGTATAGAGGATATAAATTTGTTCACAATTTGATCATTGTTTAAACTGGGTGATGTGTATATACAAGTTCAATTCACATCCTACTCTGAAACATGGAAAATGTTTCCAAATTTCCATGCAGTGTTTAAACAACTCTCAAGTGATTCTAATGTGTGAAACGATACCAGTTTGTTTTGATTATGATAACTGCAAAATAGTTCTTCACATCAGGTGCAGCTAACCGTCAAAGATGGTCCTTTGTTTCTCAAGTGTTTGGCCATACAAGGTTATTTATACTTTTATATAAATTTTCAAGTCAACTGGTCACTTTCTCCCAAAGATACAGGCTGAGGTCCAGTGGCGGAAAGTTGATGTTGAACAGTATTGAATCTTGTCACCCCGGAATATGGAACTTCTCTTCATTTTCTAAGGCTTCATTTATTTCTCTGTGAAACAGATTGTGATTTTCAGTCAGATCTATCCCTCAGAATTTCAAGATTCACGCTATTACAAATGATACCACTTTTCACGTTTCAGTTAGCCATTGTGATCAAATAAATCACACCTGAGTTTTATATAGTGATGTTGGATCTTGATGCAAGCAAACACATTTCAGATTGGAGCTCCATCTGGCAGTGAACATATCTTTGGAGATTTAGGTATTTGTCAGGTGAGAAGGATCTGATTCCATTCCCTTGCACTTTTTTCAGCAGTCCAAGGAAAAGGAATAATCCAACCCAAATCCAGTCGTATGGCTGGGAAGATTGTACAGTTTGTGGACCAATGTATGTGAAATATTTTGTATGTCCATCAACAAACTTTCCTTGAGAGTAACCATTCAATTGGCAAGGCTGCCAATTTATCTTGCATTTAGCGATAACACCAGTTATAAAATATAGAGGATGATGTTCTCTCTTATTTAATTGAGTCCTCCATAATGTATTGCCATTATAATGTACTGCCAGAAACTCTGGAACAGTATGCAATGATACATCCATCAAATGCCATGAGTTTGTGCCCTAATCTGATTTCTCTCATTTCTGCTGTGGTCTAATATAAAATGACACCAGCAGCATGTAAACAAATAATAATGGCAGGCTGAGGGCTGTGTGTGACTGAGTTGTGTGACTCAGCTGCCTTAGGAGACAATTGCTCATACTCTAAATATGATGTAGGTGTCCACTCCCATCAATCCATAAGCATCAGGTCCTGTTTCTGCAAAAAAAAAAAGAGAATCTTTAGTCCTTTGTTTCAACTTCATTCCACCAAAGAAGAGTGAAGATCTTTGACTTAAGTAATGATCGGTGTGTGTAGCATATTTAAGTTAACTTTTAGTCACTGAACTAACTAATTAGCATCCTATCAGATAAAGCTTGCTCACCGGCAAAACTCACAAGGTCACATTCCCTGTGTCCCAGGTTAACAGGTCTCAAAGAAATCAAAGCATCCGTTGAGTGTTAGGTGTCTCACCTAAAGTTCACCCTTGATGGAGTAACATGTGGCTCACAAACAGATTTAAATGTGTTAGATTTAGGTTTATCTAATGGTTTTCTTTTTTAGATTATTTATTTATTTATTTATTTATTTGTCAGACAAAAATTACAAGTAGACAAAGAGGCAGGTGGCGGGGGGTGGGGTGGGTGGAAGCAGACGCCATGCTGAACAGAGAGCCAGATGCAGGGCTCAATCCCAGGACACTGGAATCATGACCCGAGCTGAAAGCAAAGGCTTTAACCCACTGAGCGACCCAGGCACCCCTATCTAATGGTTTTCTAAAGTCCAATTACCAGAACACTTTCAGGCCAGTTTTTGTTTCCCAGTGCTCTGCCTATTTGACAGGATCTTTGGGTAAATATAAACATGAATTTATACCAAGTTGTTTATAATCAACCAATCATTGTATACATGACATATAATTCTATACAGTCCTTCTTTTACCTGTTTACATTAGGTTGTTGAGATGATACGATCTTACTCTGCTCTTCCACTGACATCCTGAATTACAATTCTGCACTCTGTGAGAAAAAAAATAAAAAAGAAAGGTGCTCTACCTTTTTATTCATCAAAGTCATCATAGGATGTGTTTAAATCTGCATATTTGTGAGCATTAGTATTTTTTAAGGATTTTATTTATTTTAGGGAGAAAGAGTAGTGCGAGCTGGGAGAACAGAGGGGTATGGAGAGGGAGACAGAAGCTAAAGCAGACTGTGTGTTGAGCATGGAGCCCAACTCGGGTCTTGATGCCACTACCACCAGATCCTGACTGAGCTGGAACCAAGTCAGACGCTTCACTGACTGAGGCACCCAGGTGCCCCTTGGCATTTCTAAGACTAGAAAAGTCATTTTTGATTGAAGCCAATACTGGATAATCTGTGAAAGAACGACTACAGATCATGGACTAAATATTTAGTGTCCATTGAACACAAAATTGTGCTAGACATGTTTTCCTAAGATTGTGTAATGTGCACACCTGCAACATCAAGACCAAAACCTTCTCCAAGATCTAGGGGACACTGTCACAAACTCAATCCATACCCTTCTTTGGTCACTGGTCAAGTGATGTTTATATTGCATGATACTATGGGCAGAGCCACTTTCCAGTTATTATGTGCATTAAGGGCCTCCCGTTTCTGTCCAGGTGATGGAAGTCAGTAGTTTCCCTTGTTATTTGGCATCTAGAGCCATGATTAGGGTCAGGTTTGATTCCCCAGAAGTCATTAGGTGCTGTTAAATGCAGGAACTTTTCTCTCATTATGAGACACTTGTCCCCACACATGTACTATATTCCCTAAAATTTCACTTTCTGAGTAGATCCTTGACCTTTTTTAGTCATGGCCCACCCAGGTAGCATTCTTAAGAATATTATTAATATGAATGAAAGGGGAGAGATCACAACTCACACCAAGGAAATGGAAACAATCATCAGAAATTATGATCAGCAACTATATGCCAATAAGTTAAGCAACCTAGAAGAAATGGAAAATTACTCAGCCTTTGAAAAGGATGGGATTTTTGTCCTTTGGAGCATAAAAGGACCCAGACAGCATACACTAAAGGGAAATAGGTAAGATCTGAAGGCACAAACACTAGAGGATTTCACTCCTGCCTGGATTCTGAAAAGCAATACAAATGAATAAACAAACAAAAAGCAGAATCAGAATGTCAATATAGAAAAGAAACAGATGGTTCTCAGAAGGAAGGTGAGGGAGGCATGGAAGAAATAGGTGAAGGGGTGTAGGAGACACAGTCTTCCCATTGTGGGTTGCATAAGTCATGGGGATGAAAGGCACAGCATAGGAAATATGATCAATTGTATTGGAATAGTGTCTCTGGTGACAGATGGTAGCTACACTTGTGCTCATTATAATATAAGGTAAAAACTTGTCTAAGCAGTATAATTTTCACCTGACATTAACAAAATACCGTGTGTCGACTACGCTTCAAAAGAAATTAATGAGTCAGAAAGTATACATAGAATGTATGTATACATAGTATACAGGAATGGGTTTCTCTGAGAGTGACAGAATCCCAAAGGCAATCCAGCTGGAATTATCCTCACTCCACCAGTCTAGGGGTGAAAGGTAACTGGTCTCTTGGGGAGGCACCACTCTTCACTTCTGTGGTAATTTACTTCTAGTTCATTTCTTTGCAGATTTCTGTTTCAGCATCTGTTGCCACCTTTTTCCTGTGTGCCCTTTTGGTTGGTGTTCAGTCCCATGCCACATGCTCTTCTCTTCATGGTCCACACTGGGAAGCCCATCTGCTCCCATTTTTTGAGAGTACCTCTCTGTTCATATTCTCTCTCCCCTGAGCTCTAGACCCTGTGTATCTGCACTGGGATGAGACGGCTCCATCCGACAGCTCAGTCTTTCATCAAGTAATTTAGGGGAACTTCCTATGTGCTGGTGGGGAAGAGCTATGGAATGCCCCTGAAAACATTTTTTTTTAAAGTTTCAGGGGTACAATTTAGTGATGCATAAGTTGCATTTAATATCTAGTGCTCATTTCATCAAATGCCATCCATAATGCCCACCATCCAGTTACCCCATGTCCCACTACAGTAACCCTCAGTTTGTTCCCTAGTGTTGATTCTCTTACGGTTTGCCTCCCTCTCTATATGCATCTGGTTTTATTTTTTCTCCCCTACTCCTTTGTTCATTGGTTTTGTTTCTTATATTATGCTAATGATAGAAATCATTTGGCTTTTGGCTTTCTGTGACTGCCTTCTTTCCCTTAGCATTATACCCTCTAGTTCCATCCTCATCCTTACAAGTGACAAGATTTCAGTTTTTTGGTCACTGAGTAATGTTCCATTGTATCTATGTACCACATCTTCTTTATCCAGACTTTAAAATGTTCTGGTTTTGCATCCAGCTGTTTATAATATTTGTGATATCTTCCTGAAACAGACTCCCTCCCCTCCACTGTATCATCAGCTATACCACAGTAGATTCAACTCTCCATCCTCCTGCCTTCCAAACGGTGGTCATTTTTCTACTTGTAGCCGTGCAGCATTTATATGATCACAACTTTGATTGATTTCTTGAGGGTTCAGATTGAATTGGTAAGTATGTAGTTGTATTTGAGGGAAGAGAACAATTTAATTCTTCCCCCCAGAATTTTCTGATTGGATGCTGGACATGAAACTATGAACCTAGTGACTGGATGGATTTTGTCGTCCCCCTTCTATAAGAGCAGAATGCCTCTATGTTATTGGCAAGCAGATACTTACTGGTGACACAGCTTCATCCCTTCCAGGTTGTCGATTATGGTGGGAAGATGTACTAAACATAATGCCTGCCATTTTCTCCACTTATTATTTATGCTTTGATGGAGGAGCTGAGAGTAGCATTTTCTCTATGGCCATATTGTCTGACATACAACGTACAACTGTGACTTTTCATGGGGTCTAATGCTCCATGTTTTCATTAATATCCATGTCAGTGTTTTATTTAATGGTGCCTCTGTGTGATACATTTACCTTTGTAGTAGTTGAGTCTTTCAGCCTCATTATGACCATCAGTATAAATACAACCCAAATATTAATTTTTCTTCTTGAAGGACTGTTTAACCCATTTCCTTTAAAACATGGTTTCCAGGTGATGATATCAGTCAGGGGTGTCCCTGAGAAAGCCATCAGTAATTGGCCAGCTGACCTGCCTGGTGGTTGGTCACCAGAATGAGGCCAGCCTGAGAAATCCCTGGTGATTGGCCAGAGCATAGTGGTGACAACACATGAACACATCATGGTGACATCACAAGAGGAAGGCATTATGATGTCCCTGGGCGGTTATAAAAGCTTGGCAACAGCCCAGGCTGCAGTGAGGAAAGAGATGGCGGTTCACTCACAGCTCCTCTTGCTCTTCCTCAACTTCTCTGCCCTGTTGGCTGCCCCTGCCCATGACAAGCACCCTGTCCACTCCTCCTGCCATGGGCCTCTCTCCAATTCAATACACACCACCTTCATGTTGGCACCTACGTTTGTGCCCCGCTGTGGTCCGGAAAGTCCTCGAACCCATACACGGTGACTCCTAGACCCATTTCACACTAGGAGGCTGGCCCAGGTCCTCAGGGAGACATTCTCATTTGGTACGTGGGAGTGGGACACTGGCTACCAGAGTACCATGCATTCTCAGCCAGCTGGGCCACACACCTCTGAGGTCACAGGTTTCTTCATTACAGGAAAGCTGAGTCCATGTCCTGAGGGATCACTGGGCACACTACTACTCTGGAGCCCTCCAACCTCCCTCAGCACAGAGCACATGAATGCTCTGAACATCCAGCTGACCCAGATATGCACAATGTGTGGAATGTCTGGAGACACCAGGCAGAGGGGATTTTACGAAACAGGTACTGGGAAAAGGAATCACATCTCTGTATTCAGTGTTAGTCATCAGAACTCTGGCCCTCAGTTCATGGACTGCCTGAAACAGCTCAGCAGCGGACAAAATAATTCCCCAGAAACCTGGCTCACCCAGAGCCCACAGACCATCAATCCTCAAACAAAGCCTAACAAAGAGAAATCCAGACCTCAGAACAGAGTATCTGCCAGGAACCCAAAGACTGGGAGGCTTCTCATCCCATTTCACACTAGGCAGATGAGTCACATAGACACTGTGTGGACAAGGAGCCTCTATACCTCAAGTTGGCCAGCCCAATGTAGCACAAGACCTATAACCTCAGAGAATGGGCTTGCCACGTGCCAAGAAACCATGAGTCCTGCATCCCAGCTCTGTATCAGGAAAATGATTCAACTCAACAGAAGCATTACCATGGGCCTTTGTACCCAGTGTACAAAAACTCAGCTCTCCACTAGGCCAAGCAGGCACCTGAATAGCCCACTCACCATGTGCCCTTGGACCAGGAGACCAACAATTGAGATGTCTGCGAGGCCAAGCAGGCACTTGGAGAGCCAGGTCCCCATATTCCCTTGGACATGGAAAATAACCAATCTGCTCTCTATTATGCCAAGCAGGCACCTGGACAGTAGGTCCACCATGTGCTCGTGGACCTGGACACCAACAACTGAGCTGTCTGATGGGCAAAGCAGGCATGTTGACAGGGGGCTAACTATGTGTCCTTGGACCAGGAGACCAACAAAGGAGATGCCTTCAAGGCTAAGCAGGCACCTGGAGAGCCAGCTCCCCATGTTCCCTTGGATACGGAGACTAGCCAATCTGCTGTTACACCAAGCAGGCACCAGGATAGCAGGTCCACCATGTGCTCTTGGACCTGGACACCAACAAGTGAGCTGTCTGATGGACAAAGCAGGCATGTTGAGAGGGGGCTAACCATGTGCCCTTGTACCTGGAGACCAAAAATGCAGCTCTGTGATAAGCCAAGCAGGCAACTTCACAGCGGCATCACCATGGACCCATAGACCTGGAAACCACAGAATCAGGTCTCTACTAGGCCAAACTGGCACCTGGACAGCTTGGTCACCATGTGCCCGTTGATCTGGAGACCAACAAAGGAGCTCTGGGCTAAGCCAAGCAGATACCTAGACATGTGGCTTACCATGTACCCTAGGACCTTGAGACCAACAACTCAGCTCTTTGCCTGGCCAAGGGAGCACCTTGACAAAAGGCTCACCAAGCACCCTGGACATGGAGACCAAAAACTGAGCTGTCTGGTGGTTTAAGAAGGTACCGTCATAGTGGGCTAAACATATGCCCTTGGACCATGAGCCCAAGAAATGAGATCTGGGTTAGGACAGGCAGATACGTAGACAGGAGGCTCACCATGTGCCGTTGGACCCGGAGACCAGCAACTCAGCTCTCTGCTTGAGTGACCACCTTGGAAACAGGCTTCCCATGTGTCCTTGGACCTGGAGAACAACAGTGTTGCCTAATGGGCTAAGCAGGAAGGTTGACAGTATGCCAGGTGCCCTTGGACCTGGAGACCAACAAAGCAGCTCTGCACTAGGCCAAGAAGGCCCCTGGACAGTGAGTTCAGCATGTTTCCTGGGACACAGATCCTTCCTTCTCCCCAGCGTACAGGGCATTCAAACACAGGGCTTTCCAGCAGGCGTCACATTACAAGACCTCCAAACCTGCTCAACAATGCACTGATTTGTCCAATGAAGCCATGGAGACCTGGGAGCTTCTAAACCACAAGCCTTCCATCCCAGGAGAGCACAGGACTAAGATGCCACTGGGACACCATCTTGACCCAAAAATCTATGACTTCATCCTTTTCACCTCTGCAGAGAAGTGAGCATTTGAGTCTCTTCTCACTTTCAATGTCCTTCAGCCTGAGGTCCTTGTGGTCTGCTCTCTCTGCATTATTCATTTTGTGGGGAGGTCTCCTCCTGAGGAAAAAAAAAAAAAAAAACAGCATGCCCTGGGAGATGAAACAGGCCAGGGGCTTGAACACTTTGTTTTCGAATTCATGGCAGGAAATGAGCGGCAAAGGGAAGAAGTTGTGGAGAACCAGGCCTTGAATTATGTGGAGTCCTTGGCAGAAATACTCCAGGTAAAGGAGAAGTGTTACATCCTCAAGGGAGAAGTGGAGGCCTTAAAGCAAAAAGCCAAGCAATGCACTGAGAGGCAGGCTCAGCTCCATGAGATGGAGAGTTTTTTTCCTTCGAATGAAGGTCTTTCTAGATGTTTCTGCCTTACACGCAGTGCCCAAGGGTTAATGTTTGTGCAGCTACCCATTATGGCATTGAAGTAGAGTTGGGAAATAGCTGTTCATCTCCCCAACTGATGGTTAGTTATGAGTTTAAATATTAGGCAAATAAACCATTTAAGATTTAAAAAATTGAAAAAAAATAATTTATTAAGATCATGTGGTTTCAGATGGAAGGGTCCCCTACCCTGGCCCTTCCTGACCTTAGGATAGAACTCACTGCAGTAAGAATAGACATCTCCAACCCTTATCCAAACATCCTTGATCCCCCTAAGCCCGCACTTACTTTGAAAACAGCCACCGTGAGGGCAGCTCCAAGGTCGAAGCTAGGGTTCTCTGGCAGAGCCTCGTGGTCACATCCTTCTTCTCCTGGAACTGGTGCTTCCCAGCAGTACAATCAAATTCTGATCCATCATATGGGGCTCCTTAGCAGCGCACAGGTTCTTGTGGACTAAGTTACTCCCTAGTCCTCACTGGTCAGGTCAGGCTGGTCCTTACAGAGATGGCTGCTGCTGTATGCATTCCTCAGTTTCCCCTGACTTTTCTGAACTCAACTTGTCCCTGTTATTACCTCCATTGGCAACCACTTGCTCCACCATTGCCTTATCCTTCTTTGGGTTATTCTCATCCCCCAAGCCTGCTGCTGTTCTATCTTCCATCTACGCCCTCCATAGTCTGTTTTCAGTCTAGGTTCAGCTCAGGCTCCCGCAGGGGACACACAGAGAAGGGCCCGAGTCAGATCTCAGCTGCAGTCCCCAGAGCTACTTAATGGGCACCTCAGATCCTCATGCACTCACAGAAACTGAGCAGGAAGGGAATTGGGAGAATGTGAATACCAATCTTACCTTACACATGAGGAACCGAGGCCCAGAGATCTTAGGAGCCAGGGCAGGAAGTACAACGTGGCCTCAGTGAAAGCTCTGGCTTCTATGGACTGAGTTCAAGTAACAGAATGGCCCTGACTCTTCCCTTTAAAATCCTTAAAAACAACAACAAAACCCATCCAGATATTGCCAGCTGCTCTCATGTGCTCTGCAGCCCTCACTTCCTCCCCATATCTCCAAGCAGCTGGTTCCCCCTGTCCTTGCTGCAACCTCAGTTGTCTTGTGCCACTTGGAGGTCCCCTCCTTTAAGTCGTCTGCCCCCTTGTGGAGTCCATGGGAACTGCCAGGGCGAGAGGCCTAAGGCACAGGCCCTGAATCCCTGACTCCAGCTGGGAGGTCAGAAACCAGGCTCTAACTCACCACCTGCTGGGACTCCAGGATGTGTGGCACCTCACCAGGCAGTGTTTGCCTGGGGACCCCAGAATCCACTAATGGGAAACTGTCACCTTCTTTCTTTCTCTTTTTTTTTTTTAAGTGAAATTTACATACAAGTATTTCACCCATTATAAAAGTATCCTACAATGACAGAGTTGTTCAGCTAGGACCCTCGTTTGTTTTAGAGGCCTCCTTCACCTACGCACACCTCCTCCAGCCCCTCTGCAGACAGTTTTCGCTCCCTCCTCCAGCCCCAAACAACGCTGATCTTTCTGTCTCTATACATGGCTTCTTTCTGGAGATTGTACATAAATCAAATGAGACAGTATGTAGTCTTTGGTGACTGGCTTCTTTCACTTAGCATGCTTTTCAGGGTCCTCCATGCTGTAGCTTCAATCAGATTTCTCTCCTGTTGTTGCTGAGTAGAATTCCATGGTACAGATGGGCCACCTTTTGTTCATTCACCAGTCAGTGGCCCTTTGTGGTGCTCTCCAGTTTTTCCTGTTGCTTCAGATTGATGAATAGGCTTCAGGTTCGGCACACATCTTAGAGGCTATGGAGGTACTCACACAGAACATAGGTAGAGGGACACCATCATTGTGCCCTTCCTCCCCCTCACTATAGTTTGTCAGTATGTCCCAGAAAGAAGCTTATACACTAGTCTGGAGTACTAATTTTTGAAACTGTTGGTCAGAGCACAACTCCAAATCTCATGCTTTGGTAGCCAGCAGGCCTTAAGCTTGTGGTTCCACAAAACTGTGTGTGTGTGTGTGTGTGTGTGTGTGTGTGTGTGTGTATATATGTATGCATATATGTGTGTGTGTGTGTGTGTGTATTTTAAAAGCTGCTGTCTAAAGATCTGTCTTCCAATCTGCTGGGTTTAGGTGTTAGCTGAGATATTCCCCTCTGGGACACTGAAACATGCCCCTTGGGCACACCCTCAATGACTGGGAGCTATTAAAAATAAATTAGGCTGCTTGGAAAATCATAAAGGACCAAGAGACAACCAAGAACTAGGGAGAGGTTGAATGTCAAGGTTCATTTCCTATAAGACACATTCCTCCAAGACTGGGAGAGGTGACAGCTTCATTTAATACATAGAAACAAACACAAAGAGTCAAGCAAAATGAAGAAACAGGAATGTGTTCCAAATTAAAAAAAATAAAACTCCCCCCACCAAAAAAAAACCCTTAATGAAACAGAGATACACATAATTTGCCTGATGAAAAATTCAAAGTAATGATCATAAAGATTCTTTCTGAATTCGGAAGAATAGATTAAAAAAAAAGTTAGAAAATATAAGAAAGCACCAAATGGAAATCATAGAGCTGAAGAAAGCAATAATTGAACCAAAAAATACACTAAAGGGGTTCAAAAGCAGACTGGATGAAGCAGAATCATCAGTGAACTCAAAACAGGGCACTGGAGAGGGCACTGGAGATCACCCAATCAGAGTAGCAAAAAGAAGAATGGAAAACAAAAACAAAAACAAAAACAAAAACCAAAGCCACACAAAAAAACGAAGGTAGCCTAAGGGACTAAGGGGAAACATCAAACAGACTTAACATTCATACTATGTCCGTTACAGAAGATGGAGAAAGAAAGGGGTAGAAAATTTATCTGAGGAAATGAATGAAATGGCTGGAAATTTCCCTAACTCAGAGAAGGAAACAGACATCCTATTCCAGAAAGTTCCAATTAAGATGAACCCGGAGACTCACAGGAAGACAATTCCTAATTAAAATGTCAAAAGTTAAAGACAAGACGAGAATCTCAAAAGCAGCAATTAAAAACTAAAACAAGTATTAAAAAAAAAAAAGGCTACAGAAGATTTTCAGCAGAAGCTTTTCAGGCAGAAAGGAGTGGCACAATACATTCAAAGTGTTGAAAGGAAATAAACTTTCATCCAAAATACACCCAGCAAAATCATCATTCAGAATTGAAGGAAAAATAGAGAGTTTTCTGGACAAAGAAAACCTACGAGTTCATCTAAAACAGCATTACAAGAAATGTTAAAGGGACTTTTGTAGGCTGAAAATAAAAAGTGCAAATTCATAACAAGAAAACATAGGAAACCAAACTTGGAATTATCTCTATTAGTGGTTTTCAGATAGCTCAGCTGTGTCGGCAGAGACCAAGATCCAGATCACTAGGAACCTCCACCAGTGCAGCTTCCCTGTGAAATAGAGGGGAAAAACCCATACCCGAAACAGGGTAACTATATCGTAGGAGTGGGATTCCCTCTGTTTCCCCTGCACCAGGAACAGCTGAGCCATCACCAAAGTAGCCATAAGAATGAGGACCATTTCAATGTGCATGGCTTCGTGGCTATAGTGCTTGGTATGCATGCACGTGTGCTCAACCCTCCACTGCGCCTCTCGAGAGAGTTCTGACATATTAACCTCATCCATCTCCCATTCTCTAATAGTACCTTCTCCAACCTCCACTTCTACCACTGCCATCTTCACCAATAGTACAGACACCCCAAGGTTGGTTTATAAGTAAGTAGTTCTTGTTTATCTATAAAATAAGCCATGCCACTGGCATTGTTGGCTAAGTGGCTGTCATGTTTACCCTTTTTGGTCTCTGTTATTCAAGATCAAACCAGAAGATGGCATGGACTTTGTTATTTTTCTTGTCTTCTATGGCCTCTACTATGTTGTTCTTGAACAAGACTTTGTAGAAATGTGTGCAGACTACATGGCATCTACCATAGGGTTCTACAATGTCAGGCATGCTTACCAAACATCTCTCAGACAGTGTGTGCGCCATGTGTGGGCAGCAGATCTTTGTGGATGTCAGTGAAGAGGGCATCATCAAGAACATACACAGCGTATATAAGCTGTCTTGCAATCACATATTCCCTGAGTTCTGCATCCTTGGCTGGTGCACTGTAGGAAGGAAACAGATGTGTCCCTACTGAAAACAGAAGATGAACCTCAAGAGAATGCTCAGCAATCCCTGGGAGAGGCCTCACTCATGTAGAGGCAACTGCTAGACTGGCTTCGGTATTTGGCAGTCTGACATCATTGGCCTGGTGCAAGGCATCAACTATATCCTAGGCCTGGAATGGTCAAGAAGAAGAACACCCACCCACTATGGACCTCAGGGCACTCTCCTCCCTGTTTTCCAAGATGTCCTGGGTAGAAAAGACTCAAAGGGACACCTGGACAACTCAGGATCCCTCCAGCTGTGTCCAGGCTGGGGAGGGAGACGTGGGAGAGCCAGCCAGTGTGGCTGCAGCAGTGGGGGCATTTTAAAAGAAAACTATTTTGATAAATATTAAAAAAAAATGAAAGTATGAATCTCATTAGTAAAGGTAAACATTCAGTAAAAATGGCAGATTAATCACTTATAAAGCTATCATAAAACTTAAAAAACAAAAGTAGTAAAAATAAGTATAACTACAATAATTAGTTAAGGGATACACAAGATAAAAGTATGTAAAATGTGATGTCAAAACCATAAAACATGCGGTGAGGGGAGTAAAAATGAGTTCAGAATGTGTTCAAACTTATCAACTTAAAATACAGTTATAAATAAAGGTTGTTATACTAAACCTCATGGGAACCACCAAGGAAAAACCTATGGTAGATTCCCAAAAGATGGTGAGAAGGAGATTCTTTTCCAAGAAAAGAAATGGCAGATGATGTTGGTGTTATGGGAGGGCCCAGGAGCTCTGGAATGGGAGGCCATGGTGGCTTCCATGGAGGCTTTAGTAGCAGCATCTAGGTCAGGGCCAAGGCCACAGAGTTCAAAGAGGCAAGGCCAAGGAGTGGATCCCCATCACCATGCTGCGCCACCTGGTCACAGTCATGAAGATCAAGTCCCTGGAAGAGATCTATCTCTTCTCCCTGCCTATCAAGGAATCTGAAATCATTGACTACTTCCTAGGGACATCCCTCTTCAAGGATGAGGTTTTGGAGATTATGCCTATGCAAAAGCAGACGCATGCTCATCAGCAGGCCAGGTTCGAGGCATTTGCTGACATCAGTCTCTGAATGCTAAATACTCCAAGGAGGAAGCCACTGCCATCCGTGGGGCCATCAACCTAGCCAAGCTTTTTTTTTTTTTTTTTAAGAATTTTTATTTACTTATTTGACAGAGAGAGAGCACAAGCAGGCAGACTAGCAGGTAGAGGGAAAGGGAAAAGCAGGCTCCCTGCTAAGTGAGGAGCCAGATATGGGGCTCAATCCCAGAACCCTGGGAACATGACCTGAGCCAAAACCAGTCATTTAACCAACTGAGCCACCCAGGCATCCCGTGGTCAAGCTTTCCATCATCCCCATTTGGCAAGGCTACTGGAGGAACAAGTAACCCCCAAACTGTCCCATGCAAGGTGACTGGCCACTGTGGCTCTGTGCTGGTATGCCTCATCCCTGCTCCCAGAGGCACTGGTATTGTCTCAGCCAGTGCCCAAGAAGCTACTGATGATGGCCAGTATTGATGACTGCTAAGCCTCAGCAAGGGACTGCACTGCCATCCCAGGCAACTTCACCATGGCTACTTTTGATGCCATTTCCAATATCTATAGGTATCTCACCCCTGATCTCTGGAAAGAGACTGTGTTCACCAAGTGTCCCCATCAGGAATTCACTGACCATCTTGTGAAGACCCACAACAGGAATCTCCATGCAGAGGACCTAGGCTCCAGCTATAGCCACCACATAGATTTTATACAAGAAAAATTAAAGTGAATTAAGGCCTATTAAAAGAAAAGAGAAAAGGAAGAAGATTGTGAGAAAGGAATCTAAGCACACCACTAACAAAATGTTCAAAGCACAAAGGAAGCAACCAAGAGAAGAAAAAGAAAGGAATTACAAAACAGCCAGAAAACAATTAAGATGACAATAAGTACATAACCATAATTATCACTTTAAGTATAAATGGACTAAATTCTACAGTCAAAAGACAAGTGGCTAAGTGGGTTTAAAGAAAAAAAAAAGGCCTTTATATATTGCTTACAAAAGACTCATTCCAAAAAAAAAAAAAAAAAAAAGACTCATTCCAGATTTCAGATTTAAGGACACACCCTGACTGAAAGTGAAGGGATGAAAAAGATATCCTACATAAATGTAAACAAAAAGTAAGCTGGAATAATTATCCTTAGACAAAACAGACTTTAAAGCAAAGACTATAATTAAAAACAAACAAACCAGGCATTACATAACGAGGAAGGGATCAATCCACAAAGAGATGTAACATTTATATTTATGCACCCAAACTAGGAACACAGAAATATGTAAAGCAAACATTAACAGACCTAAAGAACAAAACACAACAATACAACAGAAAGGAATTTTCATATCCTACTTTCGTAACAGATAGATCAGACAGAACATCAATAAGGAAACAGACTTACACAACATGTTCTGTAGATGAATTGAACAGCATTCCATCCAAAAGCAGAATACATATTCTTTTCAAGTGCACATGGAACATTCTTCAGAATAGACCATATGTTAGTCCATAAAATAAGTACTACTAAATTTAAGAAGATTGAAGTCATATCAACCATAGTTTCCAAATATAATATGATGAAACTAAAACTCAATTACAAGAAAAAAACTGGAAAATTCACAAATATATGAAGATTAAACAACATGCTACTGAACAACCACAGGATCAATGAAATCAATGACAAATAAAAAGGAACCTTGAGACAAATGAAAATGGAAATACAATGTATCAAAATTTATGGGATACA